CCCGGTATGTCTTCCGACCAGCGTGCCGTTACCCATGTAGAGCCTTGTTTAGCTCCAAATCCTCAACTTGCCATCTGAGGGTCAGCAGTAGGGTACCTTGGCTAGTGATCGCTGTCTCTGTGGCGTGGTGCTGCTGGCTGCACTCCTGTGCCACTGTCTCCATCTCATCTACCCTCTCCTCCAGCGCTGTCAGGTCTGTGCGCAGGCCTGTCAGCTCTTCACGGAGGGCTGCACGTATTTCCTGGGCTAGCTTGCCAGTGTCATCCTTTGTCAGCATCCTAGATGAAATCTGGGCTAGTTCTGCCCTTATCAGGGCCAGCTCATTTTGGTGGTCTCCCTCAGTCTGGTGTGCCTCAGCTCTTTCGCGGTCCGGTGAGGTGGGCGCCATCTTGGATGTCGGCCGCATGTCTTGCGGCTCCGGTTGTGAGGCGATGTACCCGTCCATCAAGCCTGTGCAGCGTCGGGGGGATTCCGCCGCCGAGGTCCCGGGCACCGACTGCTTCCTGTTGCGGACCATGTCGGGTTCGTAGTGCGCTATTTTAATGCTTTTTAACGGCCAGGGACGCGGAGCTCAGTGCCTAGGCGTCCTGCTCCATGTTCGTCCAGGCCACGCCCCCTAATATTTCTAATAATTTATTATTAAACATTGCCAAACTGATACATGAAATATACATTAAATGTTACTGCTGCTACAAATATGAATTGTCCGTTCTTACCTAGTCTACTTATCTGACAATATAATAAAATATACAATCAAACCTTATTATTGGTAAGAAGGAGTTAAGTCATTTAAAAAAGTAAACCAATTGAAAGGTTTCTTAATAACTTTTTTAAATGAACTGGCCTAATTTTTATAGTGGCCAGAATTGTATCCTCAGCACATTATTAGACAATTGCTGAAGTGCTACATAATGTGGAGGGTGCTAGGGAATCCAATTAGCAATCTAAAGAAGTTGAATGGACCAAGGGGAATTAGTTCAGAGCTATGCTTAAAAGAGCACTCTGGTCACCATAACGACTTCATAAAAATAAAGTTGTTATGGTGGCAGGAGCGCCCGGGAGGCTCTCTTACCTTAAGAGGTTAAACTGTTCTGGAACCATTTAGCCCAAAGGTTGCCTCCAGCACAGATCTCCAGGCCCCCAAGGTGACATACGGTTTCTGAATCTGAGTTACAAGAAACGTGGAGTGCCGCCGGGCAGGTGCACCGGTGATTGGCAAGATTGGTCAGCTGAAGCTCTAAGCCAATCAGTAGCTCAACATTCATAAAAAGTAGGTTAGAATGCTTCAATAGAGAAAAGAAGGCTATCGTGCCCATCTGTATTGTCCAATCCATTCTAAATTGAAAAACTAGCAAGTAATCTGTACAAGCCAGTGATCGGGCTTCATTAAAACATTTAGGTGCCCTAATCACTGGAAAGATTATCGTATACCCTGTATGCAAATTACTTTAGGGGTCATTTCAGTGTTTTCTACAGACTTCTTTCCACACTGCTGCTGCTTCTAGGGGCACATCCCTGTCCTCTATATCACATTCTATTTTGATAGAAAATAACCTGTCCACACTCAAAACAAATCCATGGGTGTAAACACCATATTTATTTTTTTTATGTTTTTTTTTATAATATATTTATTGTTTCATGATACAGCATAGTTAACTTTAATCAAACAAGTAAATCAAACATAATTATTTAACATTTTTGCGTTTACTTAAACGCAAACTCCAAAATGTGAGGCATGAAATACCCATTCTCTAGTGTTAAAGGTACACTATTGTCACCAAAACAACTACAGCTTAATGTAGTTGTTCTAGTGAGTATAATCATTGCGTACAGGCATTTTCATGGAAACAGAAAAAAGGTGTTTACATTGCCCCTAGGGACACCCCCAAGTGGCCACTCCTCAGATGGCCACTGGAGGGGCTTCCTGACTGCTGCACAGAAATCAGCTCTGCCGTTCAGCTTCTCCAAGCTCTGCATGGGGACGCTGAATTTTTCTCATAGAGATGCATGGATTCAATGCATCTCTATGAGGAGGTCCAGATTGGCCTAAATGGCATTTGGCCCCGCCACTTGCCGATTTTAGCCAATCTAATGCTTTCCCCACGGGAAAGCATTGGATTGGTTAAAAATCGGCAATTCTGATGATGTCACCAAGGGGGCCGGGCAAGTGCCAGCAGACCCGCGCGGCGCTGGAAATAAGGTGAGTTTTAATTGCTTTTAAGGGGGATAAAGGGGGGCTCTTTATTAAGCCTACTAGTCTTTACTCATGATATCGATTGCAGTTAAAATCTCAGCAGTTTTGTTAAAGGGACACTCCAGGCACCCAGACCACTTCTTCCCATTGGAGTGGTCTGGGTGCCAACTCCCACTACCCTTAACCCTGCAACTGTAATTATTGCTGTTTTCGTAAACTGCAATAATTACCTTGCAGGGTTAACTCCTCCTCTAGTGGCTGTCTACTAGACAGCCACTAGAGGGCACTTCCTGCTTCATAGCACAGGTTTTCTGTGCTAGAGCGTCGCTAGTGTCGCTCAATTCCCCATAGGAAAGCAGTGAAAAGCATTTTCAATGCTTTCCTATCGAGAGCTATAATGCATTCGTATTAGGTCTCCTCAGCCGGCGGGCGGGATCAGTCTCCCCCGCCGGCTGACGTGATGAAGGGGAGGAGAGGCGGCAAACAGAAACCACCGCCGAGGGACATCGGGGTGGGGGGGGTGTCTCAGGTAAGTCACTGAAGGGGTTTTCACCCCTTCAGCAACCGGGGATGGGTGGTGAGAGGGAGAGGGGACCTGCAGTGCCAGGAAAACGGATTGTTTTACTGGCACTGGAGAGTCCATTAAAATGCTATCTTCGGTAAGTGATTTTATTATGACATCTTTCTCTAACTCAAGTCTGAACATGTTGCATATTTAATGCTTACATGGCCTCCAAATGATAAGTGCTTCCAAATATCCATTAGGTCACTGTGTATATTTTATGTTGTAAAGATTTATAGTTATAGTAAAGCGTTATAGTCAACCTGCAGGGTTAATTATGATAACATAGAGGAACAGTACCTGGCGCCATCAGGTCTGTAGTTAATGTAATTTCCAACCAGCTGAGTCCTCGCCAAACAGGGTACCTGGAATTCAGAATCTCAAAACCGCCTTCTTCAACACAGAGTCCCCATAAACCAATACATCCATGAACAGCACACCCCCTCAGCTACCCATTGCCCAAAGACAACCATGATCCCATATATATAGTGTCCAATCACCACCTGGTTAAAGCTGGCTGTGATCGCTCTGCCATGGTTTTATGAATGAAGTTAAAGAGCTCTATGCAGTGCTGGAAGTCAGCTAAAAATGGCCCATTTGCATAAGAGGAGCCCCCCAGTTTACAGTAATACCTGGGGTTGCTGACACTGCAACCTATTTAAAGACATGTAAATGCCCATTTAAAGAGCTGCTTGCAGAGCTACCTTCCAGCACCACAAGCAGCTCATCAAAAAGACTGGGGTCACTAAAAATGACCCCAGCAGACAGGTATTGATACCTGGGGCTCCCTGGTGTGAGCAGAGATTAACCCTGGTCACAGCAAACATGCACAGCATTTCATGCTGTCCTAGAGGCATTTAAACCTCTAGGACGACATGGAACGTTCTAATATCACAATCGGATTTTAAACCCCTTTTCATGCATGACAATACTTTACTGCAATCGACATTGCAATTTGATGCTTTGTCTTATTTATAACTATTCCCAAATAAATTGCTTACGTATTCCTCAGTAAAAAAAAAAAGAAAAGCATTCCATTTATCTGCATTAAATGTAATCTGCCACTTGGCTGCCCAATCCCCACTTTGTGCAAATCCCTCTGCAGTGAAATGATGTCCTATTCACACTGCATTACCTTACTTTATTTTGTGTCATTTGCAAAAGCTGATACATGATTTTCAAAGTCCATTGCAAGTTTAATAATACATGGGTTGAGAAGAGGTGAACATGTAGAGACCTCTGAGACACTCCACTAACCACCATTGTCCATTTTGAAGATTATCCTTGTACGTCTCTCAGCCACCACCTTCTCCTTCTCACACATTACACCCCCTCCGGCTCCGGACCATGCCTCCCAACTTAATGCACCTATTTAACAATCCAGGGAACGTCATAAACCGGCTGTGAGGTGGCTTGTACTTACCTAGACGGTCTGCTGATCAGCTTTTGAGCCGATCCAGCGGACCACCGCTCCTGTGCGTGAGGATGCTCTGCTCAGCCCCCTGGATGCCTCCTGCTGAGCACCCTCTCCTTTTAATGATGCTGCGCACACGAGTTGGCATCATGACGTCAGAGAAGCTCTAAGTAATAGAGCTCATCGCACTCTTACGTTTTGGAGGCACGGTTATGCTAACCATGTTCCCAAACATATAAAATCATGTGCAGTCCAAGGCAAAGTGCCCAGTTGTGGTTTCTAATGTTCTAGTGTCCCAATATTGGTTTTATGCATTGTATTTTGGTATTGACCCAGCTTTGTCTTGACTACTCTGGCTCCCTTGACTTCTTTTATTACTTATTCTGTTTAATTTAGAATTTATCTTCTGCTCTGTTAATAGATTGTCAGACCCTGCAGGAACCTCCTATTTGTGAATAAAGTTCAATTTATAGAGCAGGAGATAAAATCTTCTAAAGTAACTAAACATATACTTGAAAATGAAACCATTTTTTTCCATGCAGGCTGAGTCAGTCATTGCCAGGGGAGGTGTGACAAGGGCTGCATAAACAGAAACAAAATCAATTTAACTCATAAATGGCAGAGAATCGAGCAGTAAGACCACAGCAGCAAACTGCTTCATTAAGCTAAACTTGTTTTGATTCCTATAGTATTCTTAGAAAAGAAAGGGAAAAAAATGCTGAAAGATTAAAAACAGTGGTTTGAGGAATACCATTCATGGCATGGGTGACAGTTACCCCATAGTTATTGAGAGTCACACTCGCCATACATGATTTTTTGTTGATGTTGACTGTGGCAACTAACTACCATAAGCTGCCTATCATGTATTTTTAATAACTGAATTTCAACTGCATTTGTTGCATTTGCATTGCACAGCAATAACATTAGCCAGCCTGGAACTCCTGTTCTGGGTTGGCTAATGATGCCCCTCCATTTCTGCCAGAAGTGGAGTTACACTTCTGCCCGCCAAGAGGTTAAACTTAATATGTACATCATCTTACAGCGAAACACTGTAAATAAAAGGTTCCAGACACCATGACCACTTCAAAACACTGAAGTGTTCATGGTGCTTGGCGTAAACCTTTGTGACGGTCTGAATAAGTGTTACCGCCTGTCATTCCCTTATTCCAATAAATTAATATCACCAGTAATCCACCGGTTAAAATATCGCTGGTGTCGCATAATAATCCACACATGAGCCAAAGCTTAATGCTGGAACAAGACTGGTTTAATGGCAAGAAAAGGCATTCAATTTATACAGCATCAAATTCCACCTCTGGCCAGCAGATAATTGAGTTTAGTATGTTT